GCAGAAATGTTCATCCTTATATCTTAAACAATAGCCGATTTTACCCGTACTTTAAGGTAATTCAGTGCCAAACTAAAGTATTACATCACATAGACGTATTTGAACATTAAAAATAAGGTATTACTATCATATTGTTTGTACTTAGGATTGTTTAGGGGCAATAGATGGAACTCATGTTCGAGTTAAAGTAGGAAGATCAGATGCCCCCCGTTTTCGTGGAAGAAAAGATTGGCCAACCCAAAACGTATTCGCAGCTTGTGATTTCGACATGAAATTCACATATGTTCTAGGAGGGTGGGAAGGAACAACATCTGATTCAAGAATATTAAAGGATGTCCTAGGTAGAGAGGATCCACTTATCATACCACAAGGTTAGTTATTATTTACTTCGTAATTAGTGTATAGTAACGTACTTACGATATTATAATGAGTATAACTTCAATGACTTTAATTAGGTAAATACTACTTGGGGATGCTGGATTTATGTTAAAAGGACAAATAATTACGCCGTATCGAGGGGTTCGATATCACCTTAAAAAGTATTCTCGAAGAGCTCCACAAAACCCAAGAGAATTGTTTAACCATCGACATACGTCACTTAGAAATGTGATTGAAAGAACATTTGGCGTCTTGAAGAAAAGATTTCCTATAATAGCTAGTGGAACAGAACCTCATTATTCGTTCGATACAATGACGAATATTGTACTAGCATGTTGCATTTTACACAATTTTCTTCGAGGCGTAGACAATGATGAATCGCTGTTAGCAGAGGTCGACCGAGAGTTGATGGAACAACCTATGGATACCATGCCGACTCAAGCTCCTGAGGATGATCATAGGGAAGGGTCAACTATATGGGATGCTATAGCATATGAAATGTGGACAAATTATACTAATAATTAGATCATGTATTTAATAATGTATTTAATAAGATGTAATGTTTTAATTGTAATAAAATATTCTGTTGGAATTTTTCATTCATAAATTTTACATATGATTATCATCATTGTGTGCCTTGTTTTTCCAATAGGTAGAAAATGAGCAGAGGAAAAACTGTTGTACCTAATTCCTCGACTACGGTCCGCGAGTTCACCAAATGGACTAATGACATGGACTTTCGTTTATTAACTGCCATGCTTGAGGAGGCTAGGTTGGGCAATCGGGTTGATGGTAGTTGGACAACCCAAGCATACAATGATATTGTTGAAGCCCTCCGATAGACTGGATTAACGGGTATCACAAAAAATAATGTTAAAAATAGACAAAAAAGTCTGAAGGATAGATGACGGGAGGTTCATGACTTGTTTAGTGGACTTAGTGGATTTGCGTGGGATGAGTCCACGAAACGGTTTACAACTGAGCCTGAAGTATGGGATGACCTGCTGCAGGTAATGTTTTAACATTCAAGTTTTATTGAATTAGTGAAACATAGTAATTATGGGTGATAATCATGGTTTTTATTTGCAGGCGAAGCCAGCTGCAGCTAAATGAAGTTTCTTCCATTAGGTACTATGACTTGATGGAAGAATTATGGGAAGTTGATCGGGCGACAGGCCATATGGCTAGGAGTGCGCGACAAGCCCGTAGAAATATCGGTATGCTAAGTGTAACAGTCGACTTGAACGATGATGTGGATGACATACCAAAGGCGACCCTTTTCAGACAGGGTTTGATACAGCATACCGGTCGCCACCACACTATGGTTCCTGTAGTCCTGTTGATGGTACTCAGTCAGTGCCATCTGCTGCATCTGGTGGTACTACTGAAACATCGTCATCTCGAGGCACAAAAAGAAAAGCCCCAATGATTGATGTGATGGATGCACAATTTGACAGACTAACTACGAGGCTCGATGCATTTACAGATTACCTTGGTCAAGGTAATGCGTTGACCCAAAGATTATCTGATATTGTTGAATGACAAGTGGTCGCCATTGAACGAAGAAACGAAATAATTAATGAGCAAGTTAATATCTTGAGGCGAACATCAACAGTTCAATATTCAGAATCAAATATTTGGGACATGTTAGTCACTATGAACTTGCAAGACGAGCAAGTTATGGTTCAGTGTTATGATTTTTTGTGTAATAATTCATCACATGTTAGGCGACTTTTTGGCTTACCCCCACATCTCCGCCTCAACCAATTGTTAAAGTTCATGGGTCAAAGTGGTTGATTTGTGATTCGTAGTTATTGTATTTTTTTATGCATTGTATGTAATGTTTTACTAATGGTTTAAACATTGTAAACTTGACCATAATGTTATAAAAGTATTTATTAATGGTCAAAGATACATTTTAATGTTATTACTTGCAATTATGTTTTATGAAATATGTCTTATGTTTAACATCATATTTGTTATTGGTTATTTTATATATAATTTTCAGGTATGACATCCGGTTCAAGAAAAAGAAGTTCAAAAGAAAGAAAAGGAAAAACTCCTGCCACCTCGGACAGAGCAGCTGGTCCTAGATTACCACAAATTGAAGAAGTTCTAAATCAGACACGTTTTTTCAGCCAGCGTGATCAGATGATTAAATATGGCAAGGAGTTTTACCACAGGATAGTCCTTCATCCAAAGGTTATGGACTTTAGCTACTTTGCCACATCAGGGCTGTATTTTCACCACCATATAGAATATCAAGGTTTACAGCATTTTGTGGCTCTCAAATGTGATTTCTTTGAAGATCTTATTAAGGTGTTCTATTCCAACTTGAGAGTATCTGAAGCTGGTTTCCTCTATAGTGAGGTGAACAAAACAAAGATAAAAATAAAACCATCTGATTGGTTAACTCTGGCTGGTTTGAAGTATCAGGGGCACAAATTAGCATATCCAGACATCCCAGAGGAGATGCAGTTCGACCGTCACATAGCACTGACATCTATGATTAGACCAGAGCTGCAGGGCCGAAATGTCAGAAATGTAGGAAGTCTTAACATTAACGACAGACTCCTACATTATGTCTACGTCCATATATTGGCTCCCCGATCAAGTAACTTTTCCCAACTCTTGCAGGAAGACATTTTTCTGTTATGGGCCTTAAAGAATAACATTTTGATCAACTGGCCCCATTATATCATGCAACACATGGTCAAATGCAAGGACAATGGGATGCTTCTTCCATACCCCATTTTAATTTCACACATTTTGGCTGTTTATGGCGTAGACTTATCAATTGATGTTGCAGTCGAATTAGGGTGGGCAAATTTTTTTAATAAAAATACCTTGAAAAATTAAATGTCGTGAATGTCAACGGGGTATGGATACATGGCAGGGACAATCATCATCATGGCCAAAATGTTGAAGATGAAGAGCATGCAATGCTTGAGGACCATGCTGACGAGCAGCCTGTCGACATCACAGAACAACCCCCAGTCTAGTATGATGGTCAAATGCTTTCCCAAATATGGACTGGCATTCAAGGGTTACAAGAAGGATTAAATAATTTGACCATCAATGTAAACACAGGTTTCGATCGAGTACATAACAGACTTGATGACCTGGAACAAAAATTTGATGACTTTCAGCGTTCATTTGAATAAACTACGTTATCTTATTTTCTTTTTTATTATTGTAATTTAAATATGTTTTATTTAGTTGTAATATTTTTCATTTCTATTATTTTATGTCATATTTAATTATTGTTTACTTAATTGATGATTGAATTATATTTTCTGTTCCATTTTACAAATATGTTATTACCCATCTACTTTGTAATGTTAAAAATTTGTTAATTTTTTAATTGGTAAAAATTAACTTGTACAATTAACAAATGTATCTTCATTTCATTCTAATTTATGTCAATGATTTATCAATTTTTTTAATTTATTAATTAACTTTCAAAAAATTTATTGTACATTTTTTTTATATTAAGAAAATTCTATTATTTAAATATTGACATCAAAAAGTGGAAATATAAAAAAAAAAAAGTAATACATGTTTATAAAATTAAAATAATAACACTTTCATAAACATTAATAAAATAATGTTAGAAAATATAATTATCATAATATATTTTGTTATTATTATTTATTATTATAAATATTATTATTATTATCATTATTATTAATATTATTATTATTTATTATAATTAGTATCATTATTATTTATTATGATTCTTATTATTTTTCTAATATTTATTATTAATATTATCGTTATTTATTATTTTTTTAATAAATTATACCTATTAATATAATTTTATTGTAATTATTATTATTTACAATAAATAATATTATACTCATTTTTAATCCAAGAGTAAAAGTGTAAATTACATATTCATCTATTAAATTTTTAATTTTTATCTATCATTAAATTTAAAGGAAATATTTAAATAAAATTATTTTTAAATTAACATTTTATATTTATTTTTTTAGTTAAAATTTTTATATTTATCTTTTAATTATAATAATTATAAACTTTTTTTTTAACCTAAAGGCAAAATAATAATCTTACAAAATCATCAATTAAAAAATTTATTTTTATCTATCACATCAATTAATTCACTCACAAACTTTCTCTACACTTTTCACTCACTTTCCCTTAATCCAAACAACCTCAATTTCCACTTACTTTCCCTTCAAATCCCTCCTTTTCCACTCCTCTTTTCCATCTTCAAATCCAAACAAAGCCTCAAAGTTGAAACCTACCCGAGATGAAAATTCAATGTGAGAGTCGCACATAAAATGTGCTAAGCATCTTTTACAGGACCAATCCAAAAGTTTAGCCTATGCAATGCAATTTAAGGATGAAAGGAGAAACGTGGTGAGAAATGACGCACGAGGGCGTTGGCGTAAGCGGTGAAAGCAAGAAGAAGAAAAAAAGACAAGATCCAGAGTGCAGACCACGAGTCTCCGCAGTGGGTCCCACGCAACAAGAGCTGACACTTTATTGAAGACACTTGTCACCATCTTAGCCCAAGCAATGAATCGCGTTCGTTCCACCGTCCATTCCCTTTCTCTTTCTTAGATTCTCGCATTCTCCCTGATCTTAATTAACATAGTTACTTAACACTGCTTTCAGCTAGTGTCGTTTCGTTTCTCGCTCGCCTTCTTTTTCCCCCCTACCAAGTAACCAATCGCTATTCCTTTTTCCTTCGCAAACCAGCAACACACACACCCGGCGCACGATAGCGCCGTCGCTTTCGTTTCGCGGTTGGTAACCGTTTCTCTTTCCACCACCGTATTTATATTTATTTCGTTTCCAACGCCAACAAACTCTCTCCACAGAACGGAGGATCCCTCGTCGTATTGGTGCGTATTCACTTCCCACCTTACTTTTTCAGCTCAGATTTCCTTTTCTTCTCTTTTTTTAATTTTTTTTCCGTTTGTTTGATCTCGATTCAGTTTCTTTTTCTTTTTCTACTTCGTTTTTCATTTTTTTGTTGTTGGAAAAGCTAACAAGTTATCATAAGCTACGTTCTGTTGCTCTCTGTTTTTTTTTTTTGGAGAAAAACAGAGGAGCTCGATTTCTGCTTAGGATTATCAAATTTTGTATACTCCTTTCTGCTGAGTACTTATCTGAATTGTAATTATGTATGGATGACTGGATAAGGATGATTCAATAAAGAAGGAACTAAAACGTGTGTTATTGTTTTTTTTTTCTTGGATCGCGATGCTTGAATCGAATCGACTGATTGACATAGAAATCGTTAATATAGTTTGTTTGTGGTGATTTTTGTGTGAATCGTTAGGGTTAAACTTATGGTACTGTGATTTGAAAGTTCTATCGTTGGTAATGACTGCTGAGTGATGTTTGAATTTGTCTGATGAAGTTGAAATTGCAAAATAGTATAGGTTTTGTTGTCAAATTGTGTTTGCGAGTGGTTTAAACTTGAATAGAATATAGTTATTAAGATTTTTGTTTGCTTTGCTGAGTTTTCGGTGTTAGAAAATGGAATGAAATGAATCGGAATATGATGGAACGGAATTGTGATATATTAGTTCATGACCTTTTTTTTTATATGTAAATAAAAAAATGTTCCATACTAAAACTTTTCAGTTATGATGATTCCAGGAAATTGGAAGGTCAAATATAGGCTAATGTGGGTGGGGCATTATCGTGAAAATTCATCAATGTACAAGCGCACTCCTTCAAGAGATTATTCAAACACGGAGGACGTGGAAGAAAACTTAGGTATGCCCCTCTTTATTTGTATGTCATCTGTTAATTTCATTTTGTTGCGATATATAGCATCAATCCTAAACTCCTTCTCGATGAAATTTCCTTCCTGTGAAACTGTAGCTATTTTCCACCAACATATTCCTTTCCAGATTTCATTATTCAGAAGAATAGGAAAATCATTTAATCTTGAAAGAGACAATAGCTATGCTGGTGCTATTATCTCTAATATTGATTATTGATAATTTGCAATTGAGTGCGATTCTGAAAAAGTTAGTAAAAAGATGGTCTGAATTTATGATGTACTGCAAATTTTGTTGGGTATTCAATCATGGTAGTTATTAACGATGCCTTTTTAAATTCCTGATAGATCTTTTAGGTAATGACTTGGATAAGGGAACCTCAAGTCCTTCATGGAAGCTTTCTTTACCTCATGTACTTGTGGCTACAATTTCTTCATTCCTTTTTGGCTACCATCTAGGGTTTGTACTTTCCTAGTTTCTCCTTCTCACTGCAGTTTCTTGGTTTCTTGGCTTTAATCTAGAATTCATTAAAGACTTCAATTTTGATCTTTGATTTTTTGTGTTCTATTCAGAGTTGTTAATGAACCACTTGAGAGCATTTCTGTGGATCTTGGCTTCCATGGAAATACATTGGCAGAAGGTGATGAAGATTCCAAAACCTGTGCAGAATTTCATGTTCTATTGTAAATTTCCCATAAACAAAATTGATTCTTTTTCCCTTTCAAATGAAGGTTTGGTGGTGAGCATATGTCTTGGTGGTGCCTTGATTGGATGTTTACTGAGTGGCTGGATTGCTGACGGGGTGGGGCGTCGTAGGGCTTTCCAGTTGTGTGCTCTGCCGATGATAATTGGTGCTTCAATGAGGTTATACTTCCAGTGCCGATATAATATTGTTTGATTTGTTTTGCTTTTCTCATGGAATAAATGGAATTTTTCTTTTCACTTTATGGTTTTATCACTCTTACATTGATGTTGATGTGCTGATTTAATTTAAATTCACCTATTGTACCTTTGCCAGGAGAATAATCAATAAAAGTCTCTAACCTTGTGTTTGGACATTTTAAGAGTATTGTAATTATTACTCAATGAAATGTGCCGTTTGGATACTTAAAACCAGAATTTAAAGAATTATCTAGAATTTCAATCTTTTTGTTAAAATTAGGAATTTAAAATCCACTAAAATAGGCATTTTAAGAGGTTTATGTAATTTTTTAGAGTGTTGTAATTAAATTTCCTTACTGTTATGCATATTTCACTATGGTCAATATGTTTTTTGAGTTGTTTTTAAGGAAATATCTGACTACTATGTTTATTCCACTCTGGTCAAATGACAGGTTTTATCCTTGCATTTTCCAATGTAAATTCTTATGACTAATATCTCATTGGAAAGTTGTGCATTTTCAGTGCGGCAACAAACAACTTGTTTGGAATGCTTGTAGGAAGGTTATTTGTTGGGACTGGCTTGGGCCTGGGCCCTCCTGTTGCCTCTCTGTATGTGACAGAGGTTTGTCAATTGTTGCATCTGTCTCATTGTCTAGGCTGAAAATTAAGTTGGTTATTCATGTGATTACTCTCTTGAATGGCAGGTTTCTCCTGCTTTTGTGCGGGGCACGTATGGAGCCTTCATCCAGATTGCAACATGCCTTGGTCTAATGGGATCTTTATTTATTGGAATCCCTGTTAAAGAAATATCTGGATGGTATCATATGAATCTTAATTCATGTCATGATGTTATGTATTATTTATTAATTATGTTTTAAAAGTTCACCCTGAATTTGTTCACATAGGTGGCGGGTTTGTTTTTGGGTATCTACAATTCCAGCTGCTATACTTGCCACTGCTATGGTCTTCTGTGCAGAGAGTCCGCATTGGTTATACAAGGTTGATATCTAGTCTAATATTATTTCATCTTTGATATTATCTCTGACCATCTTTTCATTTGTAACTTATTGTGTCTATATTTGTTTGAATCCCTTAAAGTCTCAACGTTAATGATTCTAACTACTCTCTTTGTTCCTATTTAAGTGTCAGATTTTTGGAATGTTTTTGTTCCTATTTATATGTTGTTTAATTTCAGAGTTCAAGATAAACTACCCTTACTTGTTACCTAATTTTTAATTAATTTGCACATTTATCATGAAAGTGGAAATGGAAATAACCAATATGCATTTATTTTGGAGTAGAAATAAAAAGAGAGTAAAATGGGAAACTTCATAACTATTTTATTAAGATTGAGAAAATTTATTGCATTTCTTGGTTCATGCATAAAAACCTTAAATGACAGATAAAAAGAAATGGAGGCAGTAATAGTTTCTTGAAGATGTCCTCTTCTGCTGCCTCCATTTCTTTGAGGTCAACTGTTAAGTGCAAATATCAAGTATAACAATAGAATAATCCAGAACGTACAAGACCTAGAGGATTGCATGCATATTATTTTGGTGTTGCAAATTAAACCTGTCTTTGCTGATTTATTTTGTAGTTTGTTTCTTTCTAGTGATGGCATTTAGAATTCCAACTGAAGTGGAATCAGGATGGAAATAATTGTTCTTTATTTGATGATCTGCATATTTTTTATATTTATTCTTTCCCCTTCCGTCATCTTGTACAGTTCTTTTTTTAATCTTGCCAGATTTAATCTTGTGGTGTCATTGGATAGTTTTGGACTTTTGGTCCTGATTAGTCTGCTAAAACAAAGAGGAATATTCATGTCCTATTGTTTATAGCTCTTTAAAACATTGTCACTTCTTTTCATGTCCTTGCCGTCTCATTTAATGCAAGACTTTAGGAATGTTATAACAGCTAACATTGTTCATGTCTCTATTTATCCTTGTTAAGCACGGTTTGCAATAAATTTTGGTTCTTATTTTTCAATCAGACAATGAAGATTATTCATATTTCTTGATTCTTGTTATAGTGTTTGCAGTTTGCAAATGTTTCTTCTCACTTGTAGTCTTGAGTGCTCATCCCTACATTTCTTTGACTTCAGAACCCTTACTTAACTCTTGATTATTCTTCATTGTTGTGATATAGCAAGGAAGAACTGCTGAAGCAGAAGCTGAGTTTGAAAGACTTCTGGGTGTATCAGAAGCAAAATTTGCAATGTCGGAATTATCTAAGGTAGATAGAGGAGACGATACTGATACTGTGAAGCTGTCGGAATTGCTTCATGGTCGCCATTCTAAAGGTATATATTTTTCCTGGTTTATCCCTAGGATATTTTTCCTGAGTTTGAAAGAAAGACTTCATTGTTGTTATCCTGGCACTGGTTTCTTTGATTTCCAAAAGTTATTTTTTATTCACGAGTTCGTTTTGCAGTTGTTTTTATTGGATCAACCCTATTTGCTTTACAACAGCTATCTGGTATAAATGCTGTGTTTTATTTCTCTTCCACTGTTTTTAAAAGTGCTGGAGTGCCATCAGACATCGCAAATGTCTGCATAGGAATTGTTAATTTGGCAGGTACTGATGTCTTCTGTTTGCCAGGTTATAGATATAAAGTTACTATTATTCTATTCTCTAATGCTATCCCCCACTACTTTCCTCAGGATCTATCATTTCGATGGGTTTGATGGATAAGCTTGGAAGAAAGGTTCTACTTTTCTGGAGTTTCTTTGGCATGGTAAATTACGTATAGTGTTCTATTATTATTTCTTTCATGTCTCATTTATAGCAAATCATTATAGGGTGGTTCTCATGCACATGAAATATGGGGCTCGTGGTGCTTATACTATTTTAAAGTCCTGACTTTGTGTTTGTCGTAATGAAGGGAAAGGGATGTTGTTTGGAACATGTATGAAGTAGTGCAAGTGCACACCATTAAAAAATTGGGGGAAATTCCTCTTGTTTTGTTATGGTGCTTGTATTATTTTTTTTAATAAAAGATAAATTTTCCCTTAATCAGGAAGTTTTGTTGTATTTTTTACTGTTTAGGCAATATCAATGATCCTTCAAGCCACAGGAGGAAGTTCACTTGTATCAAACCTGGGAGCCAAGTACTTTTCTGTTGGTGGCATGTTACTGTGAGTATGCAACTTTGATTCTGTTAATATGGATGTTGGTAGATGCATCTATAATGCAAATTATGAATAAATTCAAAATATTTTTTCTACTTGTGATTATGGGTCAACTTTCAAGAGAGAATTACTTAGGATATCTTCTCTAAAAAATATCATTGAAGCAGTTAAACTCATGTAAACAAGTGGGAAGTGTAAAGGCAAGAAACATTTTTGTATTGATATATTGTCAGAGAAATCATGGTGCTCTGCCTGTAATTAACAATGTTTGGTAATTATCATTAGCCAAATTCATCGAATATGACTGTATGAGAATATCTTCTTACTCTGTACATATCTTTATATACGTGACAACTGAAGATGAAATGACAATAAATTGAAATTTCTGCATCCAATTATGTAATGACCTCATTGGCCACGATCAAGCAGCTCTTTGAATTGTACAATTATCGCTTGCAATAGTCACTTTAGACCAGGAGGGCATGCAGTGCCTTTTGGTAAGACACTGATGCAATATGAACACTTAATCTATACTTCTTTCATGCAGGTTTGTCTTGACATTTGCTCTCGGGGCTGGCCCTGTTCCAGGTCTCCTTCTACCAGAAATCTTTCCTGGCCGAATAAGAGCCAAAGCCATGGCAGTCTGTATGTCAGTGCATTGGGTAATTTTCTTCTGCCTTCCTATTATAAAATATTATCAGTTTGGCAGGTTATGTATGTGTTCCAAAGTTTCGATTGATTTTATAATGTTGCTGGATAGTCGAATCAAGAAAATGGAGCCTGCTGAAATTCCTTACTTCGTTCTTTGCAAACTACTGAAACTGTTATCATTATCTGTTCTCATAATGACTCAGTAGCTCATTATTTATGGAATCCTTCTCTCATTAAATTAATGGTCTTGTGCAGGTGATAAATTTCTTTGTTGGACTATTGTTCTTGCGTTTGCTGGAGAAACTTGGTCCACAGCTGCTTTACTCTATGTTTGCTACCTTTTGCATCATGGCAGTAATTTTTGTAAAAAGAAATGTGGTGGAAACCAAAGGGAAGTCACTTCATGAAATTGAGATCGCGCTTCTTCCCCAAGACTAAAGCTTATGAAGCTCCATTCATTGCTCTAATTTTGCAATCATAGTTTCAGCTTGAGCGGATGGTGTTTCATCTAATTGGGTTCACCTTAACACTACAAGGGGAAGCTCAAGGCAGGAACTAATGCGTTGTTTTGCTGCAGCTTTGGTACGAACTACGATGAGGTTTAGGTATTATGGCTAGTGGTGTAGTAGGTACTATTAGCGGCTTACGACACCATTCCGTTGTCCATATTATGTACGTGTCTGTGTAATATGTTACAATATTTTTAATCGCTTGAATTTTGTCCCATTTTAGATACCAAGTAGTCTTGCATGTCAAATTATGTCGCAGAGTATATCGAGGAAAGTGGTTGGAAGCTTCGTGAGCTTAATAGATACTTATGAATTATGATCCATAATTCACCTTATGAGATTGATTTATATTTATGTTAATGGAAAGTTGCCTCCGGGGGTAATTTCGAAAATAAGAATCCCACTTGATAACGTTACTTTTAAAATCTTAAAATAATGTAGTTCTCGAAAATGATATCGAATTTTCTTTTGGAGGTTAGTATTGTAATTCCCTTTTTTGTGGTCCAACTCTGGCAATATAGCTTGGAACCTGGTTTTGGGCCTTGCTGTTTGCTTTCACTCAAGTCCTAAATGAATGAACCAAAAATATCCAGCACTGTATTACAAGTTGGAAGTTGGAACTCACCTTTTGACTAAGAATTCAAGGTAGCTTAAACACCAAAGACCAGATAAAATATCAAACATTTGGAACAGATTCATGATTTCATTCATTCATGATACTCGCTTGATCCATAATTTAACCTTTTTCCTTCGAATTTTGAATGGAGATGTAAATATAGGAAAAATATTGTTCCCAGAAAGAAAAAAAACAGAAGCCAAAAGAACGTTGATGGCCATGGGGGTTGTAAGGATCTCTTGTCCCTGTCACGTTGCAGAAATTTGGCACTTTGCAACAGTTTTACACCAAGTATAACGTGGTAAATCAACACATTCTACCATGCTCATTTTTCAACAATTTGTCCTTTGTTCACAATTCTTGCCAAAAAAAAATTCCTTTAAAAAAGTCCAACCGCGGACTTCACAGGTGACATTCAGCAACTAAAATACCAATCGAACAACACAAAGGACAAATTCGGTCCCCAAGAATATGATGCAACTTGAATTCATTTTTTTTTTTACATAATAATACAACAGAATTCAAGGTGCATCACATCCATCTAGTTCAAGGGAAGGGTATTAGATAAATCAGAACCAGATGTGTTGATATTCATAGTGCCAAACTTTTCCAAACCAGAATCAGAACCCATTTCATTGTGCCCACCGGAAGAATCCTGGTCTTGTCCATTCCTAGTAAAAGGAAGCCGCAACTCAGAAACTGGAACAGGAAGAGGCTCTTCACTAAAGTACTTGTCCTGAAGTAACTCCAATGCTGTGGCTCTCTTTGTTGGATTATAACAAACAAGTCTTCGCACCAGGGAGACCTCATCAGGGGTGCAATTAGGCATGCATGCTTCAACGCCAGTAGGGTTCTCCACCTTACCAAATGAGATTGAGATTGTTCCATAATCAGGAAGTTTGGAACAACCAGGCCAAGCCTCCTCATTGATGTTCCCCAAAACACTCATAATTCTGCTGATCTGGTCTATATCACTTGTCCCAGGAAACAATGGCTTCAAGGTCAAGATCTCAGCAAAGACACACCCCAATGACCAAAGATCAACCTCCAAACCATAGTTTGTGGATCCAAACAGTAGCTCAGGAGCCCGGAACAACCTAGTTCCAACACATGATGTGAGACAACCAAGTTCATTCCCTACCACCTCCTCAGCCTCGTAGGTAAAAGAACCCTTGCAGAGATCATCATCTATGTCGCTCGTTGTGCACGTTGCAAGACACGAGGTGTTTCCATCCATGATGTTTGTATCTTTATCAGTGTCATACGAGCAAATCTTGGTTTTCATCTCGTCCAAAACTCTGAAATACTCTTCATGATCCTGATCCTGATCCCGATTTACATATCCAGTTTGGTTTATGTTCTCTAATTGGGAAATGACTTCGGGATTTTGGAGTGAGCTTTCACTATATGAATCATCATCTTCATATGGCGGTGGGTTCTCCAGGGAAGCATCATCAAATCCAGACTCCATAATTATTCTTGCCTGAAAAATGTAATCATATATTTAACATTCATAAATCAAGAAACAGAAATAAAAAATAAATAAATAAGAGACAATAAAATATGTTTCAATACTCTAAAAAAATTTGGTTAATGTTAGTTTTAGTCCTTGTATTTTTCAAAATGCGGTGGATTTTGTTCCTGATCAAGTCAAAATGAAGTATTGGACAAGAGACTAAATCCACAATATTTCAGAAATACAAGGATGAAACTCACTTTTTTAAAATATAGAGACTAAAACAAATGTTGTCCAAATCTGCATAGATTTAAAATATATTATACCGATATCTTTGAATTTAAATGGAATGCAATACACTTTCATCCAGCTAGAGATTCTCATGCATAGTAAATTTGTAAAACATTCAAAAACAGCTATCTTAAAAGTCACACATAAAAGCCTTTAACCTCGCCCTGCATGATAATTAACCACTATTCCTTTTTCCATTTTCAAGAGAGACTTAGCAACAAACAAAAAAAAACTATATTTACAACCATGCCATACAATTGAGAACACCCATGATCACTGATTAACCCAAACCACACCACATAACTTTAACCCTCAAACCTGTCCAAAATCCGCTAACTTGAGCACCCCATCATCGGAAACCAAAAAATTGGAAGGCTTCAAGTCCCTATGCACGATCAAGTTCCGGTGGCACGCGTCCACCGCAGCAAGAATCTGCATCATCCAGCTTTTCACCTCTCCGGCGGCGGCGGCGGTTTCTCGGAGGAGCGCGGCGAGGTCCGTGGGGAGAAAGTCGAGGACGAGAACGGCGTCCTCGTCCTCGCGCCAGAAGAACTCGTGCATGACGACGACGTTTGGTGAGCCCTTGAGAAGGCGCAGGGCCTCGATCTCGCGCGACGCGGACTGCGAGTCGTGCACCTCCTTCAGCGCCACCGCGGCGCCGTCGGAGAGGCGGCGGGCGCCGTATACGTCGGCGTAGGCGCCGGAGCCGAGGTGGTGGAGAACCTGGTACTTGGTGGTTATCTCGGAGCGCGTGTGGATGGCATAAGGCTTGGGTGTTGTGGACATGCTGATCCAAAGCAGAGTGTTTCCTTGTGTTGTGTTGACGATGGCTGTCACATATAATGAGTGTCAATTTTGTCATGCAACTCATAGTTTATTGATTTAAAAAAATAAAAATTGAGGCCAATGTGCTCTACCAATGATGTTTAATTATTTTTTTATGGTGTTGAACTTTTGTCTTAGATTATTTCAATGCAATGATTTTGGTTATGACTAATAGTTTTCTCTTTTGCAAAAGGGGTTGGGTTGATTCATGTTTATCCTCTAATATCACTTTTTCATAATGTTGATATATTTTTTTATCAAGAAAAAGAAATGTGGCCATGGTTTTTTATATTAACATAAGTAGAAACAAACTAAAAAAACTCAGAATTTATTTTATGTACCGAATAAAACTTAAACAATTATGATATAAAAGTTTAAGTTTCATACTTTTTAAATAAGGCCATTCAATCGACAATCACACTTTGAAGTCAATGTTACTTTCCAAATAGTTAATCATGGATGCATGCAACCAGGTAGATTGAATGCTCTTATATGATATTTCTGCAGAATAAAATCTCAGCTTTGATTAAAAACAAAAGAAAAAAAAATTAAATAATAAAAAATAAAGTATAAAATTCTGATGGTAATTTGTTTAGAGAAAATCTAGATGAAAATATCACAATCCATTATCAAGAATCATGTTAACGATTAGATATATATTACTAAAATTAATTCAAAAAATATAGGATGTCATCAAATACATGTCCCAATTCACTACAACACAACATAATGTCTTTTAAATTTTAATTAATATTATGTCTTGTACAAAAAAAAAATTAATATTATCTCATGATTGTATTTATTTATTATCTTGTTACAAGTATTTTCAATTTATTAAATTAGAGACTAATTTTGTTCATAATACTGTGACTGATATTGATTCAAAGAGTTTTTACATACAATAAAAATTAAACACAAAATTCTTCACTAAATAAATCATTTTCATATAATGTGTGAATATATGATGTTTTATCATTATCCCAATCATCAAATGTATGAATATATGATATCTAATTACTAAGTCAATTCATTGGACTAAAAACAAATCACTTAAATATCTATTTGCATTTTTTTAATAATAAGATATAATTCATTTTTATTGGATTAGTCTTTGTAAAAATAAAATAATATCTTTACTTTATAACTGAGATGAGTATCTAACATTAAACCTTTGTTAAAAAAACAAGTGACTTTACTTTGAGTTTTCTACATGTTTTTTTCATGTGGTTGAAGGTGACCAAAAGAATTGATGAATCATCGTTAAATGTTGTTTTCAACGAAAATATAAACACATACTATTTATTTTTTATTTTTTTTTCCTTTAGTCTAGTTACTAATTTTGCCTTGTTTGTGTACTATTATTTTGCTGTTGTTGACGTTTACCTCTATTAAACCCTATAACCTTATTCTGCCAAACCAATACTAAATGTTTGTGGTTTACAAAATGATGCTATTTATGACACACCAACATCATAAAATGACAATTGCATCAATGTGTGGGTCCCTAGGAGTTTTCTAACACATCAGCACGTGTGACATAATTCCCAGTGAACCCAACATCTCACATGGCCTCCTTCATGTTGCAATAACAAGTCATTTCAAGAAACCACACTACATATGCTTTTCAAAGATGAAAAACTATGGTTTCTTATATAGCAATTCTTATTTATTAATTTTGAAAAAATATTTTTATTTAATTAAAAAAATTGAAAAATGAAAGTGAGTGAAAAAATGTGGAATAATAAAATGGAAATTCCATGTGAGAATGTAGGATACATGCTTTTTACCATGAAAATGAGAAGATGGTCAAATATGAATGTTTTATATCGTTAGAATAAAAAAATACTTGTTAAATTCTTGTCATAACCTTCTAATGAACATAAAAATAGACATTGCTACCTTCATATTTACGAAAATGAAAAAAAAAAAAAGTATGTCAAACAAATGGCTTCATATTAATAGAAATGAAATAAATTATGATACAACTATTTTCTTTCAGGATCAGTATAATAGAGAGAAATAAATAGGTAAAAAATAAAGTACAGAAAAATAGAAAAGAGATAAATAAATAGACGAGTGAAAATTAAAAAAAAAAAATTTGAGTGAAAATTAATTTTATTGTTATTTGGTTTAAGAAAAATTGAGTGAAAACCTTCTACTCTCTCATTTTCACTTTTAGCTCTCTCATTTCTTATATATTTCTTATCAATCAAACGCACCCTTGCTGACCTAATTTTTTTATTTTTTGAGGAAAAGTAACTGTTTAGTACTTTATCATGTTTCTGAAGGACTAATATTCGTGGTTGCAGGAAGCTGAAATTAATAAATTCCATACACTATATTTACAGAACTTTATTTTTATATTTAAAATGGTATATGTGGGCATAAACATGATTATGCAGCGAGTACTAGTTATAAATATTGCAGTGCAGTATTCTTATGAATCTGGAAAGAGAATGCACATCTACATCTCTAGTCTCTAGATCTATTAATTTTCAATTTCTTTGTACCCCAAAATCAATGCCATGCCATGCGTGTCAATGTGTCATGATCCTTTTTCTTTCTTTTTTTCTTTATTTTTTTGGTAATTGGGCCTGTTAGTAAAATATAAGAAAGGTAGAGAGATTGAGAAAATCTTAGAGCTATGTGTGTGTTTGTTTGTTTTATCTAGATTATGTAGTTTGGTGTGTCCCTGCATGAAATTAAATTCGAATAATTCAATTGTGTGCACGTGTTAGAGGTTGTTATGGTCTTATGGGGGTGTTGAATATAAACAGTGTGCCTGAGTTCATTCGACCATCACCACTCTTTGTATACCAGCTAAGGACCTAATAAAATACTTTGATCGAACAAACATTTAAACTAATGTTAATCATAAAAAGAATTATACAAACACATTTTTCTTTACTAGTTAGCATTTTAAAATCATGAGTCAAGTTCATTATATAAGGAATAAAACTCACAATTTTGTGATATCCAGCCATTTTGAATCAGTAATAGTGTTACTGGTATTTCTTTAAAATTAATTTAAAAGCCTAGCCTATTTCACAAGGTTTTTTTTTTTTTTTTTTTTTTTTTTTTTTTTTTTTTTTTTT